ATTGCCAGCAATGTATACATATGTATATGAACACATTGTACTGAACGGGGCGAGAATAGCTTGAGCTACCTCATCCCTTTGTGTGTATTTATACCTCAATAAACTTATTTCAATTTCAATTCAATTTCAATAACTACTTCTTGAATTTTTACAAGGGACTGACTATTCAATGTCTAAATCAAATCTGGCAATACATGAAAGAAAAATGTGCAGTACCCTCATGAAATTTCTTCCTACAAAAACCATTCCATTTAACTTGAAGCAGAGATACAGCAGATCAATCCAAAATGCCGCAGTTCAAGCAAAATTCACCAAATGGAGAAATGTAATGCAACACCAGACGAGCATTGCAAATAAGGGAATGTATATTGATCTTATGTTTGCCAGAGTACTGCATTAGCAAAAATCAAGAATGATCTCTTTAATCATACCTTCCTCTACGGCATTCTTTCCTAAAAAAAATTTTGGTTTAAGATGACTACAAGCAAATGGTTCATGAAGTTGGCTGAAAGATAGATTTGCAAATATAATAAGCAATATTGAAATTGCAAAGTCCAATTGTGAGAAAGAAATCATGGAATCATGATTGGTACGTGATTGTACCAACGACCAGGCCGCCGGGACGCTAAGCCCCGGAAGCACCTCAAGTTAACCTCAAGGTTGGTAGGGGAAAATCATAAATATTCAAGTGCTAATAGGATACAAGCCTTCATATCTACAGTCATTAATAATAAATCCTTATGTTATCATTCAACATTATCTAGCCTTTATTAAACCCCACATGGATTATACAGTACACTTTGGGACCTGTCTTGTATATGTAAAGTCCCTGGAAAGTATACCATACAAACGTAGACTAAAGTACGTCATTCCGTGTGATTATTAACCTTTGCTATAGAGGTATTTATAGAGCCAATCACCTACAAAACTCATGAAATAATTAGTTAAACATTTTACTTCATGTTAATAAAAGTTTATGACATTGGTACAAGAACATAAGAACAGATTAAACTACTGTACAGAAGATCTATTGGCCCCCATGAGGCACCTTCTCTTTATAGTATAGGGACATGTGAAATTTGAAGAGAAACGATTTCTATTTATATTTAGTGTCTTGGTAGTACAGTCAGGTTCGTTCTCGATGCACAATCGAGAATTCTGGGTTCGAATCCAGGGCGAGATAGAAATGGTTGGGCACATTTCCCTTTCACCTAATGCCTCTGTTTGCCTAGCAGCAAGTAGGTACTCAGGAGTTAGTCAGCTTGTTGTGGGGTTCCATCTTGGGCGGGGTCAGTAATTTGACCCTGGTAGGTGGGGGGGGGGGGGACCTTATTAAAAAGTCTAACGTGTGAATTATTATAATTATTATTTTCAATCACAATCACTTATGTTTCCATGTTATACTTAAATCTGTCAACAACTCCAATTACTACTGGCAATTCTCTCTTGTGCTTCTTTTTCTCAAATCACCATAGACCTTAATTTTTTTTTTTTGGTCATATGCTTTTTTTTTGGTTGTCATGTATGTTTGTTTTTGTTGCATACCTTTAAATAGCTGAGCTACTGAAGGATTCAACTGTCCAGCAATCCCACATCTATTATTTTGCCTAGTGTTCCAAATCAATGTTCCAAATGTTCCAAAAGGTAAGAACCCCCCTCCCTTTTTTGGCTTGTATTTTCCAAGTGTCTTTTTAATTATTTTTTTTTACTGTAAGCATGTCTAGTTTGTATCCACTCTTTTGAGTTGATATCCTTAATACACTTAAAAAAAAAAAAAACTTGTTTTACCATTTCATCCACTTGTGTACAGCATTTCAATTGTCCCCCTTTACCATTTTCACTAGAAAATGTAAATTAAGCTTCACATATGAAAGGTTAAATGCTATGAATAAACTTACACTTCTATGTATTACTCATTTTGAGCATTTATACAATTATTTCTTTTTCAGATTTGACAATTTCAACAGTGACCAATTATATAAAATTGTCATTCAATCCTATGTCTAAATCATTTACATAAATGGTCAACAACAGAGGTCCCAACACAGAGCTCTGGTGAACTTCATTTGCAACAGTTTCTCCCGCAGCTTCAACTTCACTTGCGCTAATTCTCTGGCTTCTTTGAAGTACTGTATCTGACCCATCATTTTAAGACAAACCCCCCCCTCAATACCATGTGCCTCTAGCTTTCCAATTACTTTCTCTATTTTTGTAGTATTACTATTTCTTCCTCTTTTTCTCAAGCTGTCCCAATTTCTCCCTCAGTGTGGTGTCTGCTCCTCTGGTGCCTATTTAGTCCTTGCTTTGCTTTCTGGTATTCCCGTTAGCAAACTTCATGCTCCTCACCACAATGTATTTTTTTTCCTTTAGTCTTAAGGATCGATCCCTCCATCTTCAGCCTTCCTATATTTTTTAGCCAGGAAATTAGCAATACAGAGAAGGATTATTTTTAAGATATCCAGATTTCAAGGAATTCCAAATCAGAGCTATAAGGATATGATGCTGGTGTGGCACTATACAGCGTGTAGGAATAACTAAACCATTTACTCGCTTTGCCTTTGTAGAGACCAGACCTGCAAGACATCTAAACATCGGAATATAGTACTGTACTGTACAAGTAAATATTTGTAATACAGTAATTACATTTATACTGTGTACTTAAACTGGTAGTGGCAAGATCTTATATTCCTTGGTGGTCTTTCATGTATAATTCAAGATAGCCAAATGAGTTGTATGCTTATCACTTTTGCTAAACTATTCTTCAATACTATTTACAGAAAAGGACTCATTGGATTCTATACTCAAATCTGTATCGGTATACTGTACATTCAAATTACATACTGGACTAAAAAAAAAAAAAAACTAGCAGGCTAATCAAATTGAGTACAAATTAAGTAAACATTACTGTACTAGACTTTGAGTTTGCATTGTTCTTAACCTTAATCAAAATCTACATTAGGTCCCTCAAAGTTCATAGTCCCTAACTTGCATTCAAGCTTTTTGGCAGCAAACAAAATCCACTGTACCTAGAGCGTACCTGGATGGGGTTCTTGGAGTTCTTCTACTCCCCAAGCCTGGCCGACTTGAGAGAGCTTAGTCCAAAAGGCTGTTGCATGGAGCAGCCACAGCTCCACCACAGCCCTGTTGGTCCGGCACTTCTCGAAGAAAACTATCCAGTTTTTTCTTGAAGATGTTCACGTTTGTTCTGGCAATATTTCTTATGCTCGCTGGGAGTATGTTGAACAACCCTGGAACTCTTACATTTATACAGTGCTCTCTGGTTGTGCCTATGGCACCTCTGCTCTTCATTGGTTTTATTCTACATTTTCTTCCATATCATTCACTCCAATATGTTATTTTACTGTGTAGATTTGGAACCTGGCCCTCCAGTATTTTCCATACGTAAATTATCTGATACAATACTTATCTCGTCTCCTTTCTAGGGAGTACATTTGGAGAGCTTTGAGACGATCAATAATTTGTAGCTTTATCGTGTATGTGTGCCGTATATGTTCTCTGTATTCTCTGTATTTCCACTGCTTTTCAACGGCAGTCCCTAGATTGCAATTCTAGGTGGAATCGCCTGAATATTGCTTCATCTAGGCCCATAAGCATAGCTATCGTGAGGGACTTGCTATTCAAAAGAGCAATAACAACTGTAGAGTGAATTATAATTACTTGTCCATTTCCTTGCATACATCACAAAAAGGGCTTTTCCCAATAAACCAAAGTTTCTCTATCACTATTAGAATATCCTGAACATTGAGAACCTTCCTCTTCTCTCCACCATAAGTTCTACTACTACTACCAGACATCTTACAATCAAAATGACCTTAAATAATACCAAAATGTATAAAAGTTACCTAATGTACAAGTTATATCTTTAAATATTAGCAAGGAAACCATGGACTAGTGAGGGTTGATGAATAGAATAAGTGTCCCCATGCACCACTCGACACAAAGCCTCATAGGCTTTAACTCCATACAATACGTCACATTACATGAACACAGTACAGTACAGGATTGCATTTACAGTACCAGTTTTAAAATGAGAAATAATATTATAAGTGGGATAAATATCTGTGTCTAGATTATGTTATTCTACTTTATGGTTCAAACAAGTTCACGCTATCGCCCAGACTGTACTAGTGCTGGTCCCTACCCAGAGCACCTACTGCTGCTCAGGCTGGCTCATGGCAACCCAATCAACCTCTATTTCAGCCCAGTGGAAGAGAACACTTTCACCACCTGCCAAGTGTCTGCTGCCATTTAGACTGACTCATGGCAGCCCAGGCTTCAAACATCTGATCCTGACGAGTGTGTCCACTAAGAACACCTGGCTTTTTGGTTGTACAGTATTTATAATATTGTATATCTTTAAAACACACACACACAAACACGCACACTAGATTTGTGCCATATGGACCATATTTTTTAATAGGAAAGAGAGATAAAAATTTGTGTTGGAAAAAAAAAATTGAATGGCATAGCTGGATAAGGAGGATCTTTTTATTACAGTACTAAGAATTTACTGTAATATGAATTATCAATTTTAAAGTTTTGTTTTTGGACTGCATTTCAACCCTCGATATGGAACAGGGCAGAACAAATTGTGTCACTACTAATAAGTTAAAAATTTCACAACAGGGTGGATGTCATCAAGACATTTAAGGTACTTAAGTTAGAAACCAAATTAGACCACTTTAAGAACTCTAATGCAAATTTCAAGTTTGCCAAGCTACAGTGATAAACCAGACAAGAGCTTTCAAAAATTAATAAACATTGGGAACAGCCAACCTGCTGAAGCTTTCAAAGCTATGATAGTACTGTATTGCATGTAGAAATAAACTTGCAAAAAATCATCACAAGCCTGCAGCTGCCTGTCCTGCCACTAGAGACATATCCTATTAGATAAATCTCTCAATATTTTAAAGATACTACACAGCAGAAACAAAATACTTCACAGCTCTGCTCTGCTCTCACTATTACTGCTTACTTACCCATAACTCCGTACTGCTGAGGCGTCAGAGTGCTACCGTCGGCAGCCTGTGTGGTCAACACTGAGGCTACAGTCGCCCGGTCACTGCCAACAGAGCCAAAACTTTGACGGTGAACAGAACGATGGAACCCTGGGGATATGTTGCCACCAACACTATGAACTTCTGGAAAAGAAGTACACTGGTTTAATCTTCTTTGCAGAAACTGTAAATCTTGTGACAAATTCAATTTAATTCAATGTACAGACCTACCAGAGCAACATACGGTGTTGCAGATAGGGCAATGTATGTGGCACAACATATTGCAATTGCAAAGGTATGTCATTGTATTTATCAAAGGTAATAATAATAATAAGTACAGTACAAGCTGAAACAAGTGTTTCAGCTTTTACTGTACAAATGATAAATATTATTTTAGTTTTGTTTTCACCTGCCTATGTTTATAAGAGATAAAGGATAGAAATGCATTAACGATAAAATCAGTAGGAGCCATGAGGAGGATTTGAACACACAGTATATGCTGGGATACAACCAGGGCTGGGATTCAACAGCAGCCTCTAGGGCTCCCGAGGCTTCCACCGAAGCTTAATCAGGGTTTCGCGCAATGCCCATATGAGCCCCCCTTGTAGTCTAGGAATTCTATCTCCTATGCCTCTCTTTAAATGCACGAAGAAATTACATTAACGTGTTGTATCAATGAGAAAATTGATAGAAGCTATGAGGAGGATTCGAATCTATACACTAGATACTCCAAGGCAAATGCTCTAGACCACTACACAGAGACATGGTCTAGATATGGTGTAGTGGTCTAGAGTGTTTGCCTGGGAGTATCTAGAGTATAATAGGTTCGAATCATCCTCATAGCTCCTACCGATTTTTGTTCGGACATAGTAAAAAAATAGAGAACCCTCTCATGTATGTTTATCTTGAAAAACCATGAATTGAAACTCATCCAATTTATACCCATTGTTTCGAGTTCTATTTTGTGTTACAAAAATCACTCGCCTGTACTGACAATCACTCAAGTACAGGCGACTCAAAGGGCAATACACCTTTGTTCCCATAGCATCTGAGATGCTCCGCTTCACCACCTTTATTCGGACACAGTAATGAAGTTTACTGAATTTAAGAGAAGGAAATTTCTATGTTAAATTTTTTAAATAGTCTAGTTGTCACTTAAAATGTGAATAAGTTGTGTAAATTTCTTTTAATCAATAAAATCAATGAAAGTGACAATTTATCAACAGCCTATTCTCACCTATTTAACACAAATTTTATGTTCATTAGTCATGAAAAATTCTGCCAGAATCATCGAGCAAACTTGGAAAACAAGAAACATTTATATATTCAGAGACGACTTTAGTGAATGTTTGTATGAGAAGATGGTGATGATTAACAAGATTATTTTAATGCAAAAAACTCACCACCAGAAGGACTACATATTGTGATTGGCTTAAGTTTTCGAGTGCTTCGACCTGAGTCATCATGCCTTGCCATTGCAGATTTCCTTGGTGTACGGCGACGGCGACGTAAATATCGAGCAACAAGCCCAATCAAAGCTAAACCAGTTCCAATGCTCACAATGACAATCTGAAATACAATGTTGATTTTTACATACTGAATAAACAGGCTGTGCCATAAAATTTTGAATTTGTATTAAACCTACAGTACTTTATCACTTTATATTTCTAAAGTTTAGCATATCAAATTTATTGGGAATGTATTCAGTTCCAACTTTTCGGCATGTATCGAGGTCTGCCCCCAGCTTGAACTTCTGACCTTCCCCAGGATGCAAGCCCACAACAGTTGCCTTACTCCTGGGTACCTATTTACTGCTAAGTGAACAGCCGCATTAGGAGAAAGGAAATCTTTGTCCTGCTTGGAAATCAAACCCGGGAAATTGATAATTAGGCGAAAACTTTTGGAATGTAATGACAATTCCAAACTTGAGAAGCACACTTGTGTGAATCATACACAAGAAAAACAAGAGTCTTCCACAAAAAATAAAACATTTTTTAAGACATGTTCATCTGTGGTATATGTTAAAAATATTGTTTAACTTTTAAACAGTAAGAATTTACTATATCTGAATCAAACCAACCAGATTTATCGAGATTGTTAAATACAAAATTAGTAATCTATTGAAACTAACCTTTTGAGGTCGTGATAGGCTTTTTATGAAGTCTGATACAAAGGAAGGGAGAGCCAAGCTTGATCGAGGTGGCAATCGAAATAGTGGCTTCTGTACTGTAGGTATAAGGTGAATTTCTTCCATGGTTTAGGCCTGCTGAAAATAGAAGAAAATTTAAATTTGATTAAGGAAATTATCCACTAATCATTTTAAAATAATAAGGTTTTGAATGTCTGAAAAATAAATTTCTAATATTTTGGATGTTTCCTGCAAAGTTGATGAATGATACTACAGGTCTGTACCCAAATTGACATTTTGCAAAGGAGTTTTAACCAAGGAAGATTAGGAGAAAACATGAAAAATTCCAGCTACATTATCAAATCTTCCATCTTAAGATCAAGTAACAGACTCTGAGGACCTTCAACTAGTGTAGGTCTCTTACCTGGCCAAGAGTCACGTCTCAAAGGTTTCTCAAGTAATGCCAGTGCCATTTCAGCAAAAACATATCAAAAGCACAAGGATATTTTTGTAATTAACATTGTAACTGACATATCAAGACCAAGTGTAAGCTAATATTGAATAAAAATGTAAGAATTCCTGTATATATAAAATAAAAATACATTTTTAATAATTATGATTATAAATTATTTACGTCCTTAGCTACTAATATACAGAGTACACCACCTAGCCTGCTCAAGAAACTGCCTTAACACATATTTTAGCTACCAAACACCTAGTGATCATTGACAATTTTCATTTTATAATATGTTTAGAGTCTTTATATTAATAATTAAATTTAGAAAAAATTGGAGAATAATTAAGACTTTGATATCACAGCACGAGAACCATAGTAACCTGGAATTAAACACAAACCTCAACTTCAAGTATAGTATTAAGAAACTGCCATGAGAAAATCAATTGTGGCAAAGCGGGGCTTCAAAACAGCAACAAGTACTGTACTCTTAGCCTTAAACCACTGAACCACAATATAAGTAATGGAACCTGGGTTTCAACTGAATTCACTAAGGGTCTTGAGGAAATGAGCCGATACCAACCTCTAGGTGGTTTAAGGTGATTAGCTGGGAATACCCATGTCACTGGTTCAAATCCCCACATTGCTCCAATAGATGTCTGTTATTGATATATCATGTTAGCATGAATTCCTTGTGTAAGACATGTCATAGTTTCAAAAAGAGTACTCTACTAGCACCTTCAGAGGATACTTGATCATCCAGGCTATGACTCTTACATCAGGCTGCAAGTAGCCACATCAAACAGCCTGGTGGATCAGACTAGCAACCAGGAGGCCTGGTCAGAGACCAGGCCATGAGGACATTGATCCCCTAAATCGTCAACAAGTAGGTAGTCAAGTTTGGCAGAGTAAGGTTTGGTTTTAAAATTGGTTGTCGAGCTATCTCGTACATGTAATGATTTATATCCAGTGGACTATTATGGCCTGTAAACCACAGAGCCATGTGGACCAAAAGCAGACTACAGATCACAGTGACCTAAGGACCACTTATAGAATGTTGAAAATTAAATTCCAAACCACTAGCTAGATGACTAAAAGCCCTGGTCTTTTCATGCTCTTTACGACAAGAGAATTATCATATAAACGTCTTATGCTAGTAAGTATTTAGCACTTTTTCGCTTTGAAAGAGGCCTATTTCATTCAGTAAAGAGCCAAGAGAGAGAGAGAGAGGGGAAAACATCTCATAACACCCAAAATATTAATGTTACTTCAATGATAAATAACATACAACTCGCAGAAGGAAAATAAAAGGCCTGTTGTAATCATACGACGTCAAACCCACTAATATGACTGTCAAACAAGACCTTTAAAGAGCTGTCAGTCATAGGTTGCTGCACCTATCTTGGCTCGCTCGGGTTACACGAGCATATAAATGAGTAGGTAACCTATACATCATATCCACATATCATTCATAAAGCATACCTCAAGAACCAACGCGCCTGTCACACTGACAAACACTTGACAACTCAGGGGAAGGCAGCTCAAATCGCGCAACACCCACCGTCTCTCACAGACCAAAACAAACACCGGCGGGGTAGGTTTCTCCACCAGCTGATGGCCAGGGAACTCAGCTTTCAAATTCAAGCAATTAGGAAAAACATTCATTATTTCGCCTAAACTAAAACAAAATTAATTTTAAATAATATTTTTAATGTTAAAGAAAATATTATATATTTAAAATGCTCTTAAATATACACTGAACTCTGCTGAAACTTTGCATAGATGAATGATAGCACGAAATTCAAAATATGGTTCCGGCTCAACTAATACGAAACTTTTTCTATGTTTTATGCGAAAAAAGAGCGAGCTAATACTCTTTAATTTCTGAAACAAATAAATATTTGCAGCAGCCAAATAGGAGATACTGTGCCAGCTACTTAAATTATCCCCCACATCTTCATACAGGTGGGTGTGTTACAAAGGCTCTTCAGAGTTACTCACTTTTGGACAGAGTTTATGCCCGAAACGCCGTGCGTGTTAGTGGCTTTGCAAAAAATGTAAAAATACCACTCTTAGGTAATCTCACCAACCCATTGTACCTTCTTGCAAATAAATTATTGTTATTATGTTGTTGATTTAGGAGCGACGACGATCGTGGGATCAGATGCGCCCCGAAAATTAACCGGGAAGGGTTAATTGCCAAGCCCGTAAAGGGTGAAACGCCAAGCCTAATCGCTAAACGAGTTACGCCAATCACTGGACAGTAATATGGCTCGCGGCAAAGAAACGCAGACAGGTAGATGATTGGGGAACCCCAGGAGTCCCTCAGGGTGACAAGCACCAGCCTCGCCCCACACAGAGAACACCGGGTAGCAAAACCCAAAACTCGGCCCTCAGCAAAACACAAAACTCAACCAATGCCCCCCGGCAGAGCAGAAGCCAGCCGCCCACCACGGCTGAGGGCACACCAGGAGCCCACCAACTCTCGGCCAAGCCGGCGCCGGACACCGTCACCCTGCCGTGAGAACTAGCCAGAACACGTAAAAAAAATCTACCAACAATCCCGTGACCCAAGGCGACATGTGCGCCAGGCGTCGTAAAAACGGACCGTGGAATAGGGGCGCCAAGCGGTAGTATCAAATCCAAATCGCTAAAGCAGAACGTGATCCAGCGGCTCCCAGGCGGAGGAGGCGTTCCAGACGTCCGCTCCTTGTCAAGGTTGAACCAGGAGTCCTCATCGTTATTATTACTTGGGGTTTGAGTCTAGTTCACCTGTCTCTCGTCAGAGGTCGCTACAACTTTCCATTTGACTAATCAGAGTGAAGGCTCATCCTATCGCTTAGCCAATCACGTTGCCGGGTCTGCTGGATAACTGCCTAATTACGTACGGTTTATGTCAGCTGATGCATGTCTAACAAAAAGAGTTCGCATATTCACCGTCGAGAGGTTTACCCGGTATGCAGATCGTTTATTTTAGCCCTAAATTATGTTCAGGAATAAAGTCTACTTCCTGATTAGCGTTCGCTCTTCACAATTACCTTTATCTGGCCATATATATGTGAGCTCCACTGCAGTGGTGCTCGAACGCATCTTGTCATAAGGAGTTTTCCCCAGTAGACACAATATCCAAGAGCTCCAACGAATTGGCACCCTTGGATATTGGAACCAAGAGTTGGTTCCACGTTGAATCCTTCGTTATCAACGTTGATCTTTTTCTTCCCGGTGGGGAGGCTTGTCCTTCCACAGTGGGAACCGGACCCAACACTGCTGTAGACATTCAAGGACTTCGTGGGCCGTCTGATTATTCAGAAATGAAAACAAAACTAGTTTATATTTTTATTTCTCATACCCAATCACTTGGACTGGACGGTATAACAATGGCTTCACTTCTTGCATGTCAGCGTTCAATCCCCGACCGTCCATGTAGTTGGACAACATTGCTTCCCTCCGTCCTATGCCAGATCCTCATTCTCATATCCCTTCCCAGTGCTATAGAGTTGGACTGACTTAGTACTTTCTCTTGATAATTACTTTACCTTTTCTTATGATAATGAGATTTCTTTTGTTATTAATCAATATGTCTCAAAGACAACAAGTTATCCAAAAAGTAAAGTATCTATAATTACTGTGGGAATAACATTATCTCAATATACACTGTTGCAGCCAAAATAAAGTTCTAGTTTTGTGTTATTAATGTTTCTAGACGGCACGAGAGAGAAGAAAATATATAACAACCAACCACAATATGCACTAAATTGCTTCAGATTGCATTTCCCTAGACTCGCCTGGCGTTCTAGTATATCCTGGCCGGGGAGGATTTACATAATAGCCTCTGTTTAACGCAACACTGAAAAAAATTAGGGGATCGTATTCCATAGGATTAAGGACTTGCCCGAAACGCTGCGTACTAGTGTTATGTAACAACTCTTGTATATATCTCAAAAAAAAAAAAAAAAAAAAAAAAAAAATGTTAGGCCTATAATTTTTTTGAGGGGGGACCCTAGGATAGATTAGTTTAGAATTTTGATTACTCTGTTCCACTTTTTGGTGTCTCTGTATAAAATGGGAACTTTCATGTTTTAAACATTCCAGCCATCAGCTACCCATTGCTCACAATTGCGAGTGTGAGAACAATTGTGAGGACCCAGATACTTTACATATATATGAACATTACTATTGTAGGCCTCATGGTAATTTATGGTCATGGTCAAATTACTAATGTAATCCTTACCTTGTGTTTACTGATCACCAGATGACACTGACCTATCTATCCTCCAAGAATTATGGACCTTATACCCAGTGGTCACAATATCCAAGAGCACAATAACACCAAGTCAACACCGACTCAACGTCATCAACGCCAAATCAACGTAGAATTTACGTCGTTTCAACGTCATATCAACGGCACTCCTGGGTACTGCACCCACTGGGATTCTGAGAGAGGCCTAAAGCGGCCCAGGACAGTATTACTAATTACTGATTACTACAGTATTACAAATTACTAATATTTAAATAAACATTAAAAAACATTCATTTCTTGAAAAATTTATTGTCTTAAATTGGCATAAATACAATCAGATTTATTGATCGTGTTCACTACATGATTCTAACCCCAAGATGTTAACTTAGTTCTCATGTTTACTGGACATGAGGACACAGTGCATATCACCACACCATGAGGCTGACACAGATTTTGACTCAATAGCCTACGTAACCATGATTTGCCCGAAGCCCACTAGTGGCCTCTACAAGGACAGGAAGCCGGTGGCTTGTCAAAGGTCCTGATGATTTTATTCTCTGTCAGGATTTGGCGTTATCCTGTATCAGTCCAAGGCTGGACCTGGACAAGTCCAACCTTTACCAGTCCTCTGTTGGATAAAGACCTATAAATAATCCTATCTTGTGGCTTACCTGATCATTAGATACCTGTAAATCTGAATTTAATGTAGCCATCTGCTAGCTGGTACTTTATCCATCTGTCAGCTGGTCTTTGTTGTCTTCTTAATCCAATGTTCGTCTTCAAGATGCGTTCTGTGTTGTCTCAAATCAGTTCTTGGCTGTTTATACTAATGTCTCACACAGTTCGTTGAGATCTAAGCAATTTGTTTCTCTACAGTTTCCAAGGTCGGCCTCCAGGAGGCCTGGTCGACGACCGGGCCGCGGGGACGCTGAGCCCCGGAAGCACCTCAAGGTAAGGGGTCATGTCTGCACTCTTCTTTAATTTAGTATAGGAAGTTGTTGTCATTATTACATCCATTGAATTTGCTATGTTCAATTGATGTAATATCCTTAATAGTAATTTGCGTTCTATTCTTTTCGCTACGTTGTTATATATATATATATATATATATATATATATATATATATATATATATATATATATATATATATATATATATATATATATATATATATATATATATATATATTTATATATATATATTGTACTTCTTCGCCTATTTATATTATTGTTTGTATATAATTTTAGCTGGACGGAAACGTTATATATGCACCATTTATAGGAACCTATATAGGCACCATAGGTACCTATATAGGCACCATAGGTACCTATATAGGCACCATAGGTACCTATATAGGAAATAGGCATCATTTATATAGTGTTGATGACCAGACCACACACACCAGAAGATTTAAGAGACGACGACGTTTCGGTCCGTCCTGGACCGTTATTAAGTCGACAGTCGACTTGGTAATGGACCAGGGGGCAAATTCACGAAGCAGTTACGCAAGTACTTAGGAACGTGTAGACCTTTCCTCAATCTTTGACGGCTTTGGTTATATTTACTAAACAGTTTACACGCATGAAAACGTCCCCATCAACTGTTGTTATTGTTATAAACAGCCTCCTGGTGCTTCGGAGCTCATTAACTGTTTAATAATTGTAAACAAAGCCGCCAAAGATTGAGAAAAGATGGACAGATTCGTAAGTGCTTGCGTAACTGCTTCGTGAATCTGGCCCCAGGACGGACCGAAACATCGTCGCCCCCTCATCTTCTGATGTGTCGTTTGGTTATCGTATCTTCAGCCACGTTATTGTGACTGTTGTTGTTGTTGTTTAAGATTCAGCTACTCGGAAGAAAACGTTTCAAGTAGCACGGGCTATGGTGAGCCCGTGTTGGACTTACCTGGCACAGGAGCGGGGCTGTAACTGTAGGATAACTCAGGTACCTATTTACTAAGTGACCAGGTGAATCAGGTGAAAGGAAATGTGTGCAAGTACTTCAACCCCCTCTCGGGATCCTCGATTGTGAGTCTAGAACGCAGTCCACTCTACTACAGTTCATATTAAAATTAGATTACTTTTAATTCCACGTTTACTCACTATATATGTAAAACAGATACTGTGATCACTGAATACAGTGTTCAACATTCGCTAAATACCTAATCACTTTGTTAGCTGATGTTTGTTTATACGTGGAATAATCCTTACACTACCTTGTAAGTGAGCCACGCTCTAGTTAAACGAGTCTGTCTCAACTGAAACTTAATCGTTAATCTTTAGCAAAATTATCGTTTCTTTAATCCATTATTGAATAGCAGAATGTAAATAGTGTTATACACAATATTCCTGAGGATTTTTTTCCAGCTGATTTTTAAACTGAATTAATGTCTTGGCATGTACGGCTATGACGGGTAGGCGGCTCCATGGGTTTATTACCCTAAGAGTGAAAATGTTTCTCCTGTTTTGTCCTGCATTATGGCTTGCTAGACTTAAAACCGATATGCTTCTTGTTTGTGATACATCTGACGTTTTGAAGAAGTTGTCTGGATTCTGCAACTTATTCAGACAGGAGGTGCATATAAAATTTAAAAAATTTAAATTTTGCCCCGAGGGGTGAGTTTATTGGGCAGCGCTACTCATCCTGTGAATGGACACACCGCCATAGCAGCATGTACAACACTTCCCAACAGGAAGAAAACCCGACGTGTTTGCAAGCTCTATAGAAATAAGGGCAAGAAATGTTTTTCCGAACAGAAAATATTTACTAATCTACAAAGCTTGAGGCTACGTAGTCATCTTGTGGAGTGAACTGTGATCTTCCTGGTAGTGGACACTTGAAGGGGTATTCCTGAGACATTTTGGAGATATTTATAAATCAAAACGATATTTTAGTAGATTTATATAGATATTTGTATTGTCATGAGTTGCTAATGCCCATTATATGATGTTACACAATATTGTGACGTATTTTTTCTGATTCTTAAATACGGTGTGTCCCATGAAGATTAAACGTAGTGTATGTAAATACTATAATGTATTTTGAACATGTATATACTTCCCTTCCGTGTTTATAAATAGAATTATGACAAAAGGAAGGATGGCGATGGGTCTATACTCCGTATCCTCCACAAGGCTAGACGTAGCTAGCCTCATGCTACAGATCGAACCGGGTCGGTGGAGGATAAATGGTAGTCAACTGGACGTCGGGGTTATGAGATCCAACAGGTCGTTGGTGATGCCTGCCACTCATCTCCCCGAAGCTGTCTTCACCTCCACATCGACTGGCGTTGCCATATCTGCCATCGTAAGCTGTGCGCCTTGCCTCATGGCCTCCCAGTCTGCTTTCTCTGCCGGATCTGCTCTCAGGATGACCGAGTCTGCCCTCCCGCCCGGCACCTCCTTCCCCGCTACTGGTCCCCGTGAGAGAGGTCTGCTTCGGCGCCAAAGGGGGCGGCGCATCCTCAATTTCAAGCTATGTTAAGAGAGAACATTATTATCAATAATAGTCAGACTTGATCTTATGGACAATGTGTACTATCAATTAATATTCTCACGAACTGCTAGTTAATAATGCCATTTACTACCAATTAATAATTGCTTTAATTGGCTGACAATTGATACTGATCATCATTTGTTACTAATATTGTCAATTGTTTCTACGGAATTACAATGAGTACCGGAATACATTAAGTCTGGCCTTTACTCCCAATTAAGAGTGACTATTAACACCAATTAAGAGTGACTATTAACGCCAACTAAGAGTGATTATTAACGCCAATTAAGAGTGACTATTAACACCAATTAAGAGTGACTATTAACGCCAATTAAGAGTGACTATTAACACCAATTAAGAGTGACTATTAACACCAATTAAGAGTGACTATTAACACCAATTAAGAGTGACTATTAACGCCAACTAAGAGTGATTATTAACGCTAATTAAGAGTGACTATTAACACCAATTAAGAGTGACTATTAACGCCAATTAAGAGTGACTATTAACACCAATTAAGAGTGACTATTAACACCAATTAAGAGTGACTATTAACACCAATTAAGAGTGACTATTAACACCAATTAAGAGTGACTATTAACACCAATTAAGAGTGACTATTAACACCAATTAAGAGTGACTATTAACACCAATTAAGAGTGACTATTAACACCAATTAAGAGTGACTATTAACACCAATTAAGAGTGACTACTAACACCAATTAAGAGTGACAATCTCTGATCAAACATGACGTTAATCGAGAACATTAAAGAGCCTCTTGCCGCTTCCTTGGTCACGATAGCAACACACACGGCGATAGATAACCTATCTTATCTTGAGATAATTTCAGGGCTTTAGTGTCCCCGCGGCCCGGTCCTCGACCAGGCCTCCACCCGCAGGAAGCAGCCCGTGACAGCTGACTAACTCCCAGGTACCTATTTACTGCTAGGTAACAGGGGCATCAGGGTGAAAGAAACTATGCCCATTGTTTCTCGCCGGCGCCCGGGATCGAACCCGTGACCACAGGAGCACGCGCCCAGTGTTCTGTCCGCTCAGCCACCGGCTCCCTAAGTCCCAACTTGACACAGGAATCGAACCCTGCGCCATTGGCCTGTCCCAACATGTCAATATTCCTGCATTTCAAGTTCAAGTACTATTTATTGAGACAAAAAGATATAAGTCAAAAGGATAGAGTAGCTTAGGCTAGTTCTACCCTCCTATCCTTACGGGCTCTTAACACTTTTGTATTAAATGAAAGACACTAAATGAACAAATCTAAATAATCTAAATTCCTAATATATATTAAATTGCTTAAAACACTAAACTAATTTCCTTCATAGTATATTTACAAGTGTTGACCAGACCACACACTAGAAATTGAAGGGACGACGACGTTTCGGTCCGTCCTGGACCATTCTCAAGTCGATTGTAAATCGAATAGACTCGTGATTCAATCGACTTGAGAATGGTCCAGGACGGACCGAAACGTCGTCGTCCCTTCAATTTCTAGTGTGTGGTCTGGTCAACATACTTCAGCCACGTTATTGTGACTCATCGCCTGCATATTTACAAGTGTCTAAATAATCTAAAAAAATCTAATAATCTAAAAAAATCAGTTCTAATCTAAAAAATCTAAATCTAAAAAAATTAGTAAATCTAACCCAATCCTCGTGAAGGGCAGCGTATGTTTAACTTGAATAATAATATTCTTAGAGTTTTTAAGTAGCTCTAAGCCATACTTGGGTATTTGTTGTGATAATAGAGTCCTGGCTGTTGTCCTTCTCGGCGTCTTGCAGGGCTGGTGTGGGTAGCGACAGGAACCCCAACCTCCTTGGCTGTGGGAGGTCGTGGTTCAAGGTTCACTGCTAATATTTACATCTTTGTGTATCTCAGTATGTTATCTGTATCATTTGTTATATGTATGTTATTGTGTATCAGTATGTTATCTCAAGAACCCTGTCAACAGTCAAGACTGTCAAAGAATCTTAACACCGTTCTTGATATATACAAAGGTGTAGGTGTGTATGTGTGTGTGTATGTATTCACCTATTTGTTTTCAACGATTTGTCCCTGCACGATCGAGCGGTTAGCTCTTAGCTCTTGGACTCCGGCCTATCCGACCGGTGGTTGTTTAATGTACTGACTTCTCATTACTTTTTCTTGAATCATATCTATTATAATCCTCTCGATATTGCTCACAAAGGCTGCCTAACTCTCGGGTACCTATTTAATGCTAGGTGAACAATAGGCATCAGATGAAGGGAAATGCTGCCCAAACGTTTCTATCCTGTGACTGGAATAGACTCGTGATCCTCGGCTGTGAGCCGCCGACGTAATCTACTGTGTGTGTGTGTGTGTGTGTGTGTGTGTGTGTGTGTGTGTGTGTGTGTGTGTGTGTGTCAACCAACAGCAAAGCAAGATATGAACATTGCATATGCTAATTTAACCTGCACTAATTTTTAAATACACATATATCAACAACAATGCTAAACTAAAACTAGACTTCCACTGTATCCGGTGATAGAAATAGCACCAACCTGTGTTGCATTGTTATAATTAACAGCGCCCTGATGCCTAGAGGGTTGGCGGAGGGACCTGCCAGAGATTCCGGAGACGGCAGAGGCCTCTGAGAGGAGCGTGTGAGAGCGAACCAGAGGTGCCAGGGCCCGACAGTGGCACACCTCATGATTCACAGGGTCCACACACCCTGACAGCACCAGTCCCGTAGACAGAAGCTTCTTCATCTGCAGGGGGGAGAGTATCCCAGGTAACATTACGGGTTATTCATGCCCGTGCTATCTCCTATCTTCATCATCAATCAATCAATCAACCCAGGTGACAGACCAGCTTGAGAACACAAACAAGGTGTCAGATGTTGGCCTCCAAGGTGCATATATTGCGAATGACGTGTATCATTTAACGTGTCATATTACGTCATGTTTTATAGATAATGTCCCAGTCACGAGTCTAGGAACAAACGTCACGGGTCACGAGTCATCTGATAGACGGTAAGGAACACAGGTCACGCACGACGTGAACCCGTTACGCAGATAGACGTACGTAACGTGATAGACGTTAAGGAACACAGGACACGCACAACAGGCAGCTATTAACAGGTAACAATCCACAACACAACAGGTTTTAAGTTAATTAATTCAATAATACTTTCCTTGATGCAATATAAACCCAATATAAAAATGGGCGCTAACACTTACTATAATTAATGTTACTTTCTATACAAATGTTCATTATCTCCTCACGAAGAATTGTAATAACACTGTAGCGCCTCTGCAGTACTTGCCTTCTTCCTCTGCTTCTTGAGGCTGCTGTAGAGGATGGCGCAGACGACGACCAGGACGATGAGGAGTGCCGCCAGGATGATGGAGAGCACGAACCATCCCTGCACGGGCATCAGGAACCAGTTGGGGTTGTGGTACACGGGCAGCTGGGGCGCGGTCACTGTCTTCGGCTCGAACTCCATCTCGGCGACACTTTCCTTGATGTACCTGTGGAAGTGGCAGGACGGATGACTGCCAGTTAGACCACCAGCGTCAAGTCTAGGCTAGACTAGACCACTAACGTCAAGTCTAGGCTAGACTAGACCACCAACGTCAAGTCTAGGCTAGACTAGACCACTAACGTCAAGTCTAGGCTAGACTAGACCACCAGCGTCAAGTCTAGGCTAGACTAGACCACCAACGTCAAGTCTAGGCTAGACTAGACCACCAACGTCAAGTCTAGGCTAGACTAGACCACCAACGTCAAGTCTAGGCTAGACTAGACCACCAACGTCAAGTCTAGGCTAGACTAGACCACCAGCGTCAAGTCTAGGCTAGACTAGACCACCAACGTCAAGTCTAGACTAGACTAGATCACCAACGTCAAGTCTAGGCTAGACTAGACCACCAGTGAGAAAGAACATCTGACGTGTATTACAGAAATGAAACATAGAGGAACATTAATTATCAAAAACTGCTAAAAGCAGGTTAGCAGAAGAAAATGGCGATAGCGTTAACCTATAAATTGATAAGGCGGTTAAGTTATAGACTGACTTGGGGACGAAGGTGGAGTGGGTGTCCTGGAAAGGTCCGACGGGCAGAGCCTGATCCACAACCCGTCTTGTAGTTCCCCTGTAACATAATACATAAGTTAATCCACTACTTAACCCTAGTGTACACACGCACACACACACACCAATAGGCTCAGGAACCTGTACACCTGTTGATTGACGGTTGAGAGGCGGGACCAAAGAGCTAAAGCTCAACCCCCGCAAGCACAACTAGGTGAGTTCACACAAACAGGACCAAAGAGCCAAAGTTCAACCCCCGCAAGCACAAATAGGTGAGTACACTTACACACATACAGATATGCTACTGAATATCAACATAATCCACATCCACACTTCACCTGGCTCTATGATCTGCGAAACACCATCAATTTTATATTTGGTCTTTATAAAGTTTTCCCAAATATGTTTATGTCTTAACTCATCCTCCAAAAATGATAGAACCTATAGCACCTATTTGGTCTACAAAAATGGACTGTTGTAGCCAATAGTGCTCACGTTTTGTACTATTGTGTAGATAGCACAAAATACATAAAGTAAAACCAAATCTAAACTTTCCTAGGCCTAGTATAGCACATATATGTACTAAATTAAGCCTAAGATAGCATATATTATGCCTAGAATTGCTTATTTAGGCCTTAGACATATTAGGCTAGGTTCATTAGATATCTTTTTATTTTTATGCATGCCATTTGGGGTAATCCAACAGCACAAAATGTGAACTTTTTGGGGTCCAACAGCCCATTACTCTATGTTTGACCAAATAGTTACTATAAGTATCTTCATTTTCTAAGGAATATAACAAAAATGAAGAGCAAAAAGTGTACCCTGAACCAATCAATGTCGGAAACAGTATTTAGTAATTAAAATTATAATTGTGTGCACGTGCACTAGTCGCACCTGCAATGACAACATATGCACATGTTGCGAACACTACACTACAAGGGAGTAGGTTCTACAGGTTCGTACCCACCTGGCAATAGGCTTTTGCGTGTTTCTGGGTTTAGTTCTCTGGAGGATGGGAGGCGGAGCGTACACATCGCCAGCCACAAAGTTATAAGGGCTGTTGTCTGGTCTTGTGTACCCAGTAACTGCGGGAGAGGCAGGTTAGAGAAATTTAGTTTATATTAGTTTAGTTCATTTATTATGCGCTCCATACCCATCTTGTGGGTAGTAGTGGACGCCATACCTATCCTGTGGGGGGTAATGTACACCAATACCCCATGGTATTGGGGTACATGGTGACCCCATACGGCCATACCTATCCTGTGGGCGGTAGTGGAAAGAGGTTCGAGACACATAAATAGTTCAGAAATTTAACCCCCAAAACTGTTTAGCTAAGCAAGATACAGTTTTGATAAGCTAATTACATAGTTTAATGTATATATTCTTTATGTTGTTAGAGAAGGCTAACCAAAGTGCACACATAATCGATAATCTGCTTCACATCTAATCAAGGATTAACATACCATTAATATACACTACTAATCAGGGGCCCCAGTATGACTAGGACAGGTATTTTAGTTATGTTAATTTTGTTTACTTTCTCAGTTGAGCTTGTTGTCGAAATACAGCCTACAATAGCTTTTGTCTGTGGCTGACTGGTGTTATCCTGCAACCTGTGGGTACAAGAGTATGTAAATCATGTACGATACTTTAGCCATGCAATCCAAATTTTGTAACTTATTTCGTGTAATATATCTGTTTCTGATTAACCGAATCATGCAAGACAACAGTCTATAGCTACCAGAGCCTTGTAACACAATAAACAGGGGTTACTAAGGTCATACAATGCAACACAACAGACTATGGCTTCCTGCAACATTACATTTTGTTGCTCTCTGAATCCTACAGTGCAACAGTATGGGCTATTTTATTCTCATAATACAATACACATTACTATTTGAATTATGGATATCAATAGTTTGGGCTACTATATGTGTGGAACGTGTGTCATGCGCCACAACAGTCTGGAGTACCTGGGTGTCTGCTGGGAACGTTGGTGGCTTGAGGGCCCCGTTGTCCTGGGCTGGCTTCGTGACCAGCACCTGCAGCCCCAGCACGGTGGCTGATCTTCGGTCTTACACCCGATTTAGTGATGGTGCCCAGTGGCGTGAGGGAGGCGGTGGAGGAGTCACCTGCGGAGACTAAGAGTTACATGGATGTCCTCCGGAGGATGAATTAAGGCAGGAGCAGACTCTGAAGGCACCCGACTAGGCTACCAGAATACACGCATCAGTTTTCTACCATAGTAAATACCTTGTGCTTAGTTATGATTGCATTTTCCAGAAACCATATTTTGCAGACAAGTTTTTAAGATAAAACTTAAAAGATGTCAAAATATTACTTGTAGCAGCCGCCTAGCTGAATAACGTACTATAAACAAATACGGCAACGAATACACAGTATGCGATGAATATACAAGGAATTTTTTTAGCGTAAGGGCTCAAACTGTCCAAATGGGATGGAATTTACTATTCTGTAAGGGAGTTACGTACCTTATAAACACCTACCCGATCACTCGTGAGGAAAAATTGGCTTCTCACACTTACAATAGTTCCTCTTGGACCGAAACGAGGTTGTCTCATCGAACCTTATAAGACTATACACAATAAATACAAAATCTCTTTTGGTACTAACAAAAAAACTTATATAAAATAAATCGTAATTTTCAATCCTAATTAACGTGAAGAATTTTAGGAACCTTTGTTTTACCGTTGTCATCCATGCCCGAGAGTTCCACGCTGGTTGTTCCAGATATAACTATGGGCTAAAACAAATCCACAAGGGCCATGAAGAGGATTCGAACCTACGTCCGAGATCATCCCAGACGCTGCCTTAATCGACTGAGCTATTGAGCATGATCAATGGGATGATCTCGGACGTGGATTTGTTCATTGATGCATCACGCAATTGTGATTTCTGTGTATAACTATAGGCTAGTTGTGCACACGCGAGTACAGGCTGTCTAGCCGTGACGGTACGAGTACCTGTGTGTGCCGGGCTAGGGGCGTCGTCCACCAGGCCTCTGCGGGAAGGTGTTGGGTCAGAGGGTTGACGGGGTGCAGGTTGCTGGGGCTTCCTTGGCGAGGCTGCTCCTACCACATCAGGGCCGGCTGGCCTCACCACGCTACTGAAAAAATGTAGTTGTAGTTCAATTTATGGTGAAATTTAAGGAAAAACTATTTGCTATGTTCTACTAGAATTCACAACGTCTTGTTATCTTATTTGCAATTGTAGTTTACGGGTAACTACATGTACCAGATGGCTATAAATGAGTGTGTTCCAGCTATCAAGATATCTCTACCCTTACAGACGAGTAGTCACAATAACGTGGTTGAAAAATGTTGACCAAACCACACACTAGAAAGTGAACAGACGACGACGTTTCGGTTCATCCTGGACCATTCTCAAGTCGATTGTGTGCCACAATCGACTTGAGAATGGTCCAGGATGGACCGAAACGTCGTCGTCTGTTCACTTTCTAGTATGTGGTTTGGTCAACATCTCTAACCTTGTTGGAGGCAGGGTGGATGGTGGAGGGAGCAGTGCGAGGGTGGCAGCGGTGGTGTATCTGGAGGTGGACGGCAGCAACTTGGACGGCCGGAACTGAGGCTTCTGTGGCTGCTTCTCCACAGGAGATTGTGGACGTTCCTGCGGACGTGGGTGAGGTCTTTGTGGGCGTGGCTGGTGTGTGTTTTGGTGTGGTGGAGGCACTAGCGGGGAGCCGCCAAGAGGTACCGGGTGAGCGGCGCTGTAGTATATGACAGGTTCTCTGGAGATAACATGATCGTTGTCATAGACACTTCCCTGAAACTATGGTAAGTTCTGTACCAGTCTAACGTTCTCCAATACATATTTACCTATTAGTCCAATTGGCTATGCACATATGCGCACCCATACACAAACATAAGACACCTGCATGAATGCACACGCACACACACATACATGCACGAGCGTACTCACTAACCTTCACAAACATGAAATAATTTTACCCACCAATTTTTTTTACCCAAATACCCACTCACGCCTGCTTTTCTTGTTTTGTATAATTTATTATGTGCCCTATTATGTGGGATACTTTGCTGTTTATTTATATACAAGAAGGTACATTGGGGGTTAAGAGAGTACATAATAATGATGATGGATTTTACATTCTTATAAAGCCACTAGCACGCATAGCTTTCGGGCAAAATAGGCTATGATAGGCTACTTTCTGCTGGCAAATTTAGGAGGAGCTCAATTGAAGATGACTACTGACCTGGGGTGGTGATAGGCGCCCATGGAGAGGCTAGAGGCCCCGAAGTTGATGGAGTGTGGCTCTACCCTCCTGATGGGGGCAACACCTGACCTAAAAAGACAAATTTTCGGTCACGTGACAAGATTCGAACCCTGCGTCGCACCCATGTCTCACGTCTCATACCCGTAAAGACACAATACTTAATCCCGCATTTGGGAATGATTATACGATCACCTAGTATAATATTCCTGTTCCTGAATAACAATTTCATTTGTTAATGGGTGGTAACTTATTTTCTGACTGCTTATGCTTCCAAAGTATAGAAAGTGACTATTCCATAAAATAAGCCAACAAAAAATCGAAATCCGTAAACAAAAAATCGAAATATGAAAAAAAACAATAAATCCGCCAACAAAAAATGTCAAATTCCATAAAAAACATCCATAACTTACCTGTGAGAGTAAGAGAGTACACATAACTTACCCGTGAGTGTGAGAGAGTACACATAACTTACCCGTGAGTGTGAGAGAGTACACATAACTTACTCGTGAGTGTGAGAGAGTACACATAACTTACCCGTGAGTGTGAGAGAGTACACATAACTTACTCGTGAGTATGAAAGAATACACATAACTTACCCATGAGTGTGAGAGAGTACACATAACTTACCCATGCGTGTGTGAGAGGTGTGAGGGCCGGGGAGCGCCCACACGCAGGCGGGCGCCAGGGTAATTCTTGCGGTATTTGGACTGGTCCGGGAGCAGCCCCTCCGTCAGTCGTGGAGGCGGCAGGTCTGAGGGAGTCATAAACTGTCAAGTCAGGTACTGACAATGTTTACATCCTGCAACATTCATATACTTATTTTTATACATGGCGGAAATGTTTACAATATTATTACGTCTCCATCAGAGGATACCCCTAATGGTTTAGGCCTGTTTGTTTACCAAAGGCTTCGTTTCCAGCCGATGTATTGAACTACATACATCTTCGTATTGAACTAAAACTAAAGTATTCAAGTGTACTTGCAAACTAGAACCTCAGATTAAAACTGGGCTGATGATTCAAGGTTAACACTGAGACAAGGAGAATTGACCAGATGAATGACTCTCCTGTGAATGGCATCGCGAATTTTAATGGTGGAAGAAGTGAAGTAAAATATCTTTTGAACCTGAAGTGAATTCCATTCTTATTTGAAACAGTCTTCAATTCTATATAACAATCTTGGCTTTGCGATTATGGAACGAATACGTTACGGTAGGCTATTTAACTTTTCGTTATCTTATACTTAAATAATCCAGTGCCAAAGCAACATGTAGCTATAGATTTTTAGGCACAGGGGGAGTTATCAAGCTCCACATATATACTGTTAGTTATGTTCATATTACTGTATTCACAATAACCATAGGGCAGACGACACATTAGTAAAGATAAATATATTCAATAGCTTCTGCTGAAGTTATCAAAGAAAATGAATTTCCTAAAACACAAAGAAAACGAAGTAAATTGTAAGATTAGATGGATAACAAATGTATATTGATTCTTTTGACCAAAATTTCTTTATACGCGTATAAGGAGCTGTGACATGTTTAGACCCGATAATTATACGTACTGGCAACATAAAAAATCCACTAGACAGTGTGATATCGAATAGATATAGAATATCATACATAATAGGGTAGCAGCACATTGCTGTGTATACCTAAGCTAGTTAATAAAAAAATCTTTTAACCAAAATTTCCGACTTAATACTACTAACATTTAGGGGATAAATAAATACTCATGTATTCATCTAGGTTACCACCTTGCCCCAACTTTTCTTAGTTGTTTGTACATAATTTATCTTTCGAGATATTCCTGAAAATAACAACTTTCAATGTTACACATTTGTGCAAATAGGTTTAGATTTTTTATTCAGGTAAAGGTACATACATCGAGTTACATACATAATGTTGGATTTAAACAATAAAGATGCAAATTGATCAAATGGAGGTACAGAGCAAGCTTGTCAACAATAACTTCATTCCAATGTACAAAGTTGTGTTGATATCTGCCACTGCGATAGCTTAGCCTCATGATATGAATATTTTGACCTAGGGTGGGAGGACCTCGATATATGTCTAACATGACATACAGAAATCACAATAGCGCGATGTATCAAATGAACACATCCACCCTGGTTTGTCTCGCGGAGAGACTGCAGGATCCAAGTAAGTTAGGTACAACTTCTGGTTTCAACTCTTTTTGACCATGTCGTAGCTCAGTCGATTAAGGCAGCGTCTGGGATAATCTCGCACGTAGGTTCGAATCCTCGTCACGGCCCTTGTGGATTTGTTCATATGCCTAACATGTATATATATACACACAGGCTGCTTGACCCCCGACAAAATTAATTACTGGTTGATACCTGGTTGATGGGGTTCTGGGAGTTCTTCTACTCCCCAAGCCCGGCCCGAGGCCAGGCTTGACTTGTGAGAGTTTGGTCCACCAGGCTGTTGCTTGGAGCGGCCCGCAGGCCCACATACCCACCACAGCCCGGTTGGTCCGGCACTCCTTGGAGGAGTGCCGGTTGACCAACCGGCTTGCTGGGAGGACGTTGAACAACCGCGGACCTCTGATGTTTATACAGTGTTCTCTGATTGTGCCTATGGCACCTCTGCTCTTCACTGGTTCTATTCTACATTTTCTTCCATAACGTTTACTCCAGTACGTTGTTATTTTACTGTGTAGATTTGGTACTTGGCCCTCCAGTATCTTCCAGGTGTATATTATTTGATATCTCTCTCGTCATCTTTCTAGTGAGTACATTTGGAGGGCTTTGAGACGATCCCAATAATTTAGGTGCTTTATTGCGTCTATGCGTGCCGTATATGTTCTCTGTATTCCCTCTATTTCAGCAATCTCTCCTGCTCTGAAGGGGGAAGTGAGTACTGAACAGTACTCAAGACGGGACAACACAAGTGACTGTATTAAACTGTATACTGTATTAAATTTAATTATATTTTAATTGCAATACTTTAGAACGAATATATATATATATATATATATATATATATATATATATATATATATATATATATATATATATATATATATATATATATATATATATATATATATATATATATATGTATATATGTCGTACTAGTAGCCAGAACGCACTTCTCAGCCTACTATGCATGGCCCGATTTGCCTAATAAGCCAAGTTTTCCTGAATTATTATATTTTCTCTAATTTTTTTCTTACCTATGATAAAGCTACCATTTTTCTATGTATGAGGTCAATTTTTTTTATTGGAGTTAAAATTAACGTAGATATATGACCGAACCTAACCAACGGTACCTAACCTATTCTAACCTATCTCCAATAGGTTAGTTTTGGTTAGGTAGCCGAAAAAAAAGAAAGGTTAGGTTAGCCTTTTAGGTAGGTTAGGTAGTCGAAAAAAACATTAATTCATGAAAACTTGGCTTATTAGGCAAATCGGGCCTTGCATAGTAGGCTGAGAAGTGAGTTCTGGCTACTAGGTACGACTATATATATATATAATATATATATATATATGTATATACCTAGTAGCCAGAACTCACTTCTCAGCCTATTATTCAAGGCCCGATTTGCCTAATAAGCCAAGTTTTCCTGAATTAATATATTTACTATAATTTTTTTCTTATGAAATGATAAAGCAACCCTTTTCTCTATGTATGAGGTCAATTTTTTTTTATTGGAGTTAAAATTAACGTAGATATATGACCGAACCTAACCAACCCTACCTAACCTAACCTAACCTATATTTATAGGTAAGGTTAGGTTAGGTAGCCAAAAAAAGCTAGGTTAGGTTAGGTTAGGTAGGTTAGGTAGACGAAAAAACATTAATTCATGAAAACTTGGCTTATTAGGCAAATCGGGCCTTGAATAGTAGGCTGAGAAGTGCGTTCTGGCTATTAGGTACGACATATATATATATATAAATATATATATATATGTCGTACCTAGTAGCCAGAACTCACTTCTCAGCCTACTATTCAAGGCCCGATTTGCCTAATAAGCCAAGTTTTCCTGAATTAATATATTTACTATAATTTTTTTCTTATGAAATGATAAAGCTACCCTTTTCACTATGTATGAGGTCAATTTTTTTTTATTGGAGTTAAAATTAACGTAGATATATGACCGAACCTAACCAACCCTACCTAACCTAACCTAACCTATATATATAGGTAAGGTTAGGTTAGGTAGCCAAAAAAAGCTAGGTTAGGTTAGGTTAGGTAGGTTAGGTAGACGAAAAAAACATTAATTCATGAAAACTTGGCTTATTAGGCAAATCGGGCCTTGCATAGTAGGCTGAGAAGTGAGTTCTGGCTACTAGGTACGACATATATATATATATATATATATATATATATATATATATATATATATATATATATATATATATATATATATATATATATATATATATATATGTCGTACCTAGTAGCCAGAACTCACTTCTCAGCCTACTATGCAAGGCCCGATTTGCCTAATAAGCCAAGTTTTCATGAATTAATGTTTTTCGACAACCTACCTAACCTAACCTAACTTTTTCGGCTACCTAACCTAACCTAACCTATAAAGATAGGTTAGGTTAGGTTAGGTAGGGTTGGTTAGGTTCGGTCATATATGTACCTTAATTTTAACTCAAATAAAAAAAATTGACCTCATACATAATGAAATGGGTAGCTTTATCATTTCATAAGAAAAAAAAATAGAGAAAATATATTAATTCAGGAAAACTTGGCTTATTAGGCAAATCGGGCCTTGCATAGTAGGCTGAGAAGTGAGTTCTGGCTACTAGGTACGACATATATATATATATATATATATATATATATATATATATATATATATATATATATATATATATATATATATATATATATAAATGAGTATATATATATACTCAGATTTTACATTACACTTGAACTCTGTTCAGGACTAAAATATACTTCGTGTTCTGTAAGGTATTGTGGTGCATTAGTAACCTCGAGCGGCGCCTTACGCCCAAGAACTATCCAACGGCAGAAGGCAGACTATCCAACGAGCACCGCAGACGGCCGGGGCTGCCAGCACACGTCCGGGGCACGCCCCTGGCCAGTCGCTTGAAGCCCGTGCAGGTGTCCGATGTTCCCGCTTGATAAACCGCGATAACGCTGCCGTGTGCTCGAAGCTGGTGGTCCACGACTTACTAACGGCGATGGAGTGGTACGTTAGTGAAGTGGTTTATGGAGAAAAGTGATACAATTGACCGCAACGACCTACAGGAGTCCCCTTGCTATAGGTCAGTGATGTTTGTTGATGCTAGTCTGGTTGTTCGTTGGGGCAGGCGGACAAACTCACCCGTGACAGCTCGTTCTCATAAATAAAAAACAAATGTTTATTAATTCAGCGGCCAAACTCTGTCTGTGAATGTAAAATACCTTACATGTGGCCCCACACGGCTATAATGTTTGAGAGTAAGGAGCTGGACACAGAACTGATCACGTTTCATTACTTTGTTGATCAATCCTTTTTACTGTATTCGATTCCTAGCACTTAAGTGCTTCACCTACGTGCTATTTGTTTTTTTTTATACAAATAATTTTTAACTGAACCGGAACACCTAACGTGTCTGAGACCATTAGTTTTTTTAAATATTAATTTACATTTGAGGACAAGCTTAGGCAAGCCACATAACTATCAAGGTCATTGTTTCCTTAGTCCGAGGTAGCCACAATATTAGGGTGCTTTTCTACGCAAGTAGAAACGTCAGTTTCTACGTGTACGTGTACGTCTTTTCTACGTCAGCATGAGCGTTTCGACGCTATGGTCCATAGCGTTGAAATTGTCGTGAATTAGATGTGTGTGACCACAGGTTACGAGCGCCAGGTAACGAAGGGTAACTATGGCAGTTAGATCCCGGAGGCTATGGTCAAATCGTACACAAGACCGTTCGCCATAGCTCGCTTTCTCATGGTCAAAACAGTATATATTATTCGGTTAAGCAACCCGTCCTCGACTCAAGTCCATTACGTCCAGCGGTCGATCCTACAGACGTATTCATAAATGTTTACATGCCGTTCATTCAAAACGGGACTTTTCTCAAATATGAATTAATATAATGATGTATTACCATATTGCGCATATACAGGCATAGATTAGGTCAGGTTAGGTGTTTAGGTTCTGTTGGCGATTATTTGTAGTACGTGGGTGAAGCATTTACAGCGTTGTGGTTCGAACAAAATTCGTCAGTGAAGCACTTGTTCCGGAAGTGTTCGAACGTTTTAAGAAATATTGGCACGTATAACCCACGCCTACTTAGGGGAGTTAGGGTAGACATGATCACCACATAAAAGATTCTCAGAGGAATTGATTGGGTAGATAAATAACACTACATAACGTTTATTTAGCATAGGGAGCACACACTAGGGCACACAGGTGGAACTGAGTACCCAAATGAGCCACAGAGACACTAGAGACCTTTTTTCAGTGTCAGAGTAGTTAATAAATAGAATGCATTAGGCAGTGATGTGGTGCAGGCTGACTCCATATACAGTTTCAAGTGTAGATATGATAGAGCCCAACAGGCTGAGGAACCTGTACACGTGTTGATTGACAGTTGAGAGGCGGGAACCAAAGAACCGAAGCTCAACCCCCCCCCCAAGCACAACTAGGTGAATACACACACGCACAACTCGCATGACCGCACTCAAACACACGCCTAGACCACAGAACACGCAAGGCCCAAGTACCCCCCCCCCCCAACTCCTAACGAGGAGTTAGTCGAGTAACGAGGGCAGTAGCACTAACAATGGCACACCAAGACCCATAACACCCGAGCCACACCGACAACATTAATGAGAGTGCCACCACCATAACCCGGAACCACCCGGGGGGAAAGAGTCACCATTAAAAGTTTGAGGCGTCCCTTTTTATAGCCAGAAGTTGGACATATGATGCTTCACCGGGGGCTTTCAAAAGTTATCTCAACTCCGAGAAACACTAGTAGATTCAGGAGGCCTGTGGCACAACTGCTGGTTCCCGGTGTTGGCACTGTTGCAGTGGCACTGGCTGTTGGCACTGTTGCAGGGGCACTGGCTGTTGGCACTGTTGCAGGCCCCTGGCTGTTGGCACTGTTGCAGGGGCACTGGCTGTTGGTACTGTTGCAGGGGCCCCTGACTGTTGGCACTGTTGCAGGGCCACTGACTATTGGCACTGTTGCAGGGCCACTGACTATTGGCACTGTTGCAGGGCCCCATGACTGTTGGCACTGTTGCAGGGCCCCATGACTGTTTGCACTGTTGCAGGGCCCCATGACTGTTGGCACTGTTGCAGGGCCCCATGACTGTTGGCACTGTTGCAGGGCCCCATGACTGTTGGCACTGTTGCAGGGCCCCACGACTGTTGGCACTGTTGCAGGGCCCCACGACTGTTGGCACTGTTGCAGGGCCCCACGACTGTTGGCACTGTTGCAGGGCCCCACGACTGTTGGCACTGTTGCAGGGCCCCACGACTGTTGGCACTGTTGCAGGGTTCCACGACTGTTGGCACTGTTGCAGGGCCCCATGACTGTTGGCACTGTTGCAGGGCCCCATGACTGTTGGCACTGTTGCAGGTCCCCATGACTGTTGGCACTGTTGCAGGGCCCCATGACTGTTGGCACTGTTGCAGGGCCCCATGACTGTTGGCACTGTTGCAGGGCCCCATGACTGTTGGCACTGTTGCAGGGCCCCATGACTGTTGGCACTGTTGCAGGGCCCCATGACTGTTGGCACTGTTGCAGGGCCCCATGACTGTTGGCACTGTTGCAGGGCCCCATGACTGTTGGCACTGTTGCAGGGCCCCATGACTGTTGGCACTGTTGCAGGGCCCCATGACTGTTGGCACTGTTGCAGGGCCCCATGACTGTTGGCACTGTTGCAGGGCCCCATGACTGTTGGCCCTGTTGCAGGGCCCCATGACTGTTGGCCCTGTTGCAGGGCCCCATGACTGTTGGCCCTGTTGCAGGGCCCCATGACTGTTGGCCCTGTTGCAGGGCCCCATGACTGTTGGCCCTGTTGCAGGGCCCCATGACTGTTGGCCCTGTTGCAGGGCCCCATGACTGTTGGCACTGTTGCAGGGCTCCATGACTGTTGGCACTGTTGCAGGCCCTAACTGTTCACACTGAACAAAAGGAATACGCATCGTTGTAGTTGATAAACATCTAAGAAAACCCGTTTAACTTTTGTTTACCAGCCGTTGTGAGACCTTCCTTTAAGATGAGGTGTTTAACATCTTAATATTTTGTCGCATCTTTGTCTGGAGCTGAAATGTTTATGTAATGTGCCACCTTCGTTCCCCTTCGTCCCAGAATTGCAGTTTTGCAACGGCAATTTCATCGTTCCTCAGCCATGCAGTTGGTCCTCAGAGAGTCGAGAGACTCGCCAATGACAGCCACAACATATTATTTAACGACAGCGAGTTGAAAATCACACGTTGAAAATGTTGCCACTTTAGTGGTGCAGCTAACTTTTGTGTCCTATGCAACACATCAACATCAGAGAAGTGAGTGTTGCGTCTTCATTCATCAACTTAAGTGCCTACAATTGCAATGAAACACAGGAATGTGATATATGAGAACACATATTTGAGCCATTAGGTGGGATCGAATACCCGCATCCCTGGGCGGGTGTGCACCACGCACTACCGGCTGAACCATGATGAGCTGTTACTGTATATGGGTATGCATAACCAAAAAACCCAGTTCAGTTCATCTACTGTCGTTAGCCATGGCCCCCATTAAGGTAATCAGTGTGTAGGGAAGCTTGCAGTTACGGGGGGGATGCCACAGAAGCCACAGTCTGGGACTGTGGTAATGTACTGAAGACCAGTAAGTTCAGTAGAACTTCGGTTTCAACTCCTTTTGACCATGTCGTAGCTCAGTCGATTAAGGCAGCGTCTGGGATGCTCTCGGACGCAGGTTCGAATCCTCGTCACGGCCCTTGGGGATTTGTTCATTTGTTTAATAAGGTAATGTGTGTTATAATGGCAGGGCAACACTCGCCATGTGCCGCCATCTGCCGTGGAAAGTTGCCACCTCTACGACACCCTGTTCGGTATTAACATAATTTGCTTACGTTATGTAATGTTATGGGCAGAGCGATATTACGGGACTCATTACGGTGAAGGGGGCGAGTTTGGTACTCACCGGAGACAAAGGGACGAGTTTGGTACTCACCGGAGACAAAGGGGCGAGTTTGGTACTCACCGGAGACAAAGGGGCGAGTTTTTGTACTCACCGGAGACAAAGGGACGAGTTTGGTACTCACCGGAGACAAAGGGGCGAGTTTGGTACTCACCGGAGACAATGGGTCGAGTTTGGTACTCACCGGAGACAAAGGGACGAGTTTGGTACTCACCGGAGACAAAGGGACGAGTTTGGTACTCACCGGAGACAAAGGGGCGAGTTTGGTACTCACCGGAGACAAAGGGACGAGTTTGGTACTCACCGGAGACAAAGGGGCGAGTTTGGTACTCACCGGAGACAAAGGGGCGAGTTTGGTACTCACCGGAGACAAAGGGGCGAGTTTGGTACTCACCGGAGACAAAGGGACGAGTTTGGTACTCACCGGAGACAAAGGGACGAGTTTGGTACTCACCGGAGACAAAGGGACGAGTTTGGTACTCACCGGAGACAAAGGGACGAGTTTGGTACTCACCGGAGACAAAGGGACGAGTTTGGTACTCACCAGAGACAAAGGGACGAGTTTGGTACTCACCGGAGACAAAGGGACGAGTTTGGTACTCACCGGAGACAAAGGGACGAGTTTGGTACTCACCGGAGACAAAGGGACGAGTTTGGTACTCACTGCGGTCAAGGGCGCGGGTGTCATCCAGGAGGTGCCCAGTCTTGGCGCCGGCCGTGACGATCACCTTGGCGGGAAACACACCGTTGGCGGGGGGCGGACCTCTCCTGGTCAGCCCTCCGTGGTGGTGGCTGCGACCCTGCCAACAGCACACACACTTGGGGTAAACAAATTGTCATCTATTTAGAAGTCTTTTACTCTTGAATTGCAACAAGTCGTCGTCTATTTAGAAGTCCAAATTACTTTGGAATTGCAACAAGTCGTCATGATGAATGGGAGGACCTTTGACAAGGTGGCGACATCCTGTCCTCGTCGAGGCCACTAGTGAGATGGTGGCCCTCGGGTAAATTCAGGTAAATTCAATATGATTTATCCCCAATATAATCTTGCACATTAGAGAGAGATTGCGCAATCTGTCCTCTCGCCTGATATGCTGCAATGTTGAACGGCATCGACCAATCCGTTTAAAATGCGACGTACTAGTGAAACGTAAGCACCATAATATTGACGTTTTCTATATGTATATATTTAGGTCTCGAAAGGTTGGGTACATTTTGATTGCAATGCATTTTCCTGGTTTAGCTAAACGGTCATATTTTTAACGGAGTTGCAAACGCTAGAACAAGCTGAAATATATACTATTAAGACCAACAATGTAGGATTGAATGCCTCATCCACCTCTGCTGTTGTCAATTCTATTGTAATCTGTTGCAACATTCAGCAATTACCTCTCTTATAAATTCTAATCTTTTATTGAACTAGATCTAGAGGATCAATTTCTTTAGATTTTTGCAACCCGTTCTCGCAAATTTAATAAGTCAATATTGACTTATTAAATATGTGCATAGGTGACATACTTAACATAATAGATACCCTTAAAACGATTCATAGAAAACACCGACCTTACCTAACCTTGTTAGTATCTTAAGATAAGCATCTTATTGCTTCGTAATTACAATTATTACCTAACCTATAATAGGTATAGGTTAAGTAATTTTTCAACGTGTTTGACAAAATGTTTCTAATTACAGATGGTGATGCGGCAACACCGCTCTTACCTGGCATCTGTAAGTATCTCTTTATGACTATTTGTTCGTTATATCTGGGTGTTATGGACTAGGATAGCCATAAATTATGGCTATCCTCCCTGACCACTGTGAGGCAGGGTACAGCCCCCTCCCTGTACCCTGTGAGGCAGGGTACAGCCCCTCCCTGTACCCTGTGAGGCAGGGTACAGCCCCCTCCCTGTACCCTGTGAGGCAGGGTACAGCCCCCTCTCTGTACCCTGTGAGGCAGGGTACAGCCCCCTCCCTGTACCCTGTGAGGCAGGGTACAGCCCCCTCCCTGTACCCTGTGAGGCAGGGTACAGCCCCTCCCTGTACCCTGTGAGGCAGGGTACAGCCCCCTCCCTGTACCCTGTGAGGCAGGGTACAGCCCCCTCCCTGTACCCTGTGAGGCAGGGTACAGCCCCCTCCCTGTACCCTGTGAGGCAGGGTACAGCCCCCTCCCTGTACCCTGTGAGGCAGGGTACAGCCCCCTCCCTGTACCCTGTGAGGCAGGGTACAGCCCCCTCCCTGTACCCTGTGAGGCAGGGTACAGCCCCCTCCCTGTACCCTGTGAGGCAGGGTACAGCCCCCTCCCTGTACCCTGTGAGGCAGGGTACAGCCCCCTCCCTGTACCCTGTGAGGCAGGGTACAGCCCCCTCCCTGTACCCTGTGAGGCAGGGTACAGCGCCACTGTGACTGGTGCTCTGCTCGTCTTCATCTATTACAAAGCAAAAATTACATAAGGAGCCTCGCTGACGGAGGAGGCCGGCCCCTGCTGGCCTCCTCCGTCATCATCTTCCCAGCCTCAGGACCTGACGGAGAGAATACCAAGAGGTTTCGTCCGGTCAACGGAAGGGAAGAGGGAAGGAAAAGGATGAGGAAAGGGGGCCGGAAATGAGAGAGAAAGGGATAGTGGGAGGTAGGAAGGAAGGGAGAGAGGTAAGCAGGGAGGAGTGAAGAAATAGGTGGGAAAGATGCAATTAAGGTAGTGTTTTGTTGTGGTTAAATGAGGATCGTAGGAAAGGTGAGAGAAGAGAGGGTTATCAGTCACAGGAGCTGGGCAGTGAAGTAATATCACAGGAGCTGGGCAGTGAAGTAATATCACAGGAGCTGGGCAGTGAAGTAATATCACAGGAGCTGGGCAGTGAAGTAATATCACAGGAGCTGGGCAGTGAAGTAATATCACAGGAGCTGGGCAGTGAAGTAATATCACAGGAGCTGGGGGAGTTGTGGCAGGAATGACTTGGGTTTCAACATTCGAGGAGTGTCTCAAAATCTATAAATAAAACATTGTATTTATGTCGGAGGCATTTGTTTGTCAACAATCATTCTTGGTGAATGGAAGATCCAATCTCTGGGATGCTGTGAGTGTCGCAAGTCATTGTGTCAGACGAGGGCCTCATCTCTCTCTCTCTCTCTCTCTCTCTCTCGTCTTCTCTTGCCAAGGGGGATTTCAGGTTTAATGTTTATTGAACTCTGAACAGTTTTGTGTGTGTGTGTGTGTGTGTGTGTGTGTGTGTGTGTGTGTGTGTGGCTGGCTCAGACAACAGCCCCAGCGGGACACAATAGGTATGATAGTGGTTCTGTTTCATTTATTGATTACTGTATTGGGAAATTCCTCCCATATAATGCTGAATTTCTCTGGTTTTTGGTCAGCTTTCATACCCGTTCTCTCAGTTTGTAGACAAAATTAAGTTGTAAGAAAGGAACAAATTTTGCCTAACCAAAAACGTACAAAATACAACTGTTTTACCTAACAAGAAAGGAATGAACCCGAGTAACTCAGCTAAGCTTTCGAGGGCAATGCATAGTAAACGTTAACATTACGGGGCATTAATTTGTACTAACACCTTTTTTTTTCTTAACGGAATCAATCAATGCGTTAAAATTGCGACGTAGTAAAAATTAAAGCTCTTTAATAGTGACGTTTTGTATGCATCGGCCACGATAGGTTAGGTGGGTTGGTTGGGTTCGTACGTTTCTGGTTAAGCAAAACAGTTCCATAATTTACGGAGTGGCAAATTGAGAGGTTATTATTTAGTTATCAGTGTAGTTATCTAGTAGTAATTCCCATACCCAGAAATGATTGATATTATCTATTCATTTAATATGGTTTAAGGCTATCTTAGTCCATAGCAATCAGATTTGGATGCTAAAAATATGGAATAGCCATGCAGTGGGATCGAACCCGCGTTCCTAGACTCCCCAGGCACATGCACTGCCGACCAGACCATGATGAGCAACAATAGCTTCTGATAGAGACGTCACATATTGTGGTATCGTTGTACAATCAGCCTTCCGGACACAATGTCACTAAGTATTGTAGTGTGTTCCTGATTACGGTGAGTGAATGGAACATGTCCCAAAGGCTGAAAGTAGATTATTTATTATGATGTTTCTGTATCTTAAAAAGATCTAATTCTCGTTAATTGAGAGATTGATAAAGAAATAATTTTGGTGCTCAACGTCCCTGCGGCCCGGTCCTCGACCAGGCCTCCTGTATGAAATCATATACTTTTCAGTGGTGTCAACTCCTAATAGCCCCCCCCCCCACCTTGTTTACAAGGGGATTATCATACGATCCTTAAAGGTGCTCCTAATCATGGAGGTTGTGGTGGCTGGCAGAATGTCTTCGCATCAACTGTGTGAGTGAATTGGTCGTTTAATTGAAAGTAACGATGTATCGCATAATACAAACCACTAAGCTACAAAATCTGTCATTTTGTATTATGTATTTTTGTTTAACGCTAGTCAGAGAGGAATGTCGGGAGATGACGAGTGAACAAAAATAAATGTCTTTCTTTTATAGAAAGAGATAGATGAAATATGGAAAGAGGGAGAGGAGGAGAGGGAGGGGGAGGGAGGCCAGAAGGGAAGGGGGGGGGGGGTGGAGGAACACGTCGACACACTGGGCGAGAATGTGCAGGGTGCAAGTCGTCAGAGTTTAGTGATCCCGTAAAAATGTGAGTGTGATCTGGACCTCCAGCGGCCCCGACACTTGGCTCTTCTCGATCACCGTAAACAGTGCTGCTCTGAGGTGTTGCGGGGGGGGGGGGGAGGTGTTGGGGGGGACACGCTCGCACGACGTGTGTGCTGGGGGAGAGGGGGGGGTGAGGGGGGGAGCCGTTGTTGTTTAAGATTCGCTACTCTGCACAAAAAGTTGGAAGTAGCACGGGCTATGGTGAGCCCCTAGTGGACTTACCTGGCATAAGAGCTGGGGCTGTAACGGGGGAGGGGGGGGTAAGAAGAGGGGGGCTTCACACGGCATGTTTAGGTCCGAGGGGTGGGGTGGGTGGTGGGGGAGAGGTTTACCAAGCGCCTTACACAACAGGTTGGTTGTTACTGAATGGTCCCAGAGTCTCAGAGCCAGTCAGGGTAATTAGGGCTTCCCTAATATACTTTTATATTACGTGTCTAAGACCAGGTTTAGGATTCATCACTTGTATAGACGAAACCTGTACATCTTCCTCAATCATGGCGACTTAGTTTACATTTATTAAATAGTTTAGGAGCGCTGAAGCGTTACCGGGTTGTTTATAACAATAATAATCACGAGTTGTCAAGTTTCCAAGCTGGTAAACTGTTTAATAAATGTAAACAAAGCCGCCGTGATTGACGGGAGATGTACAGGTTTCGAAGTTGGACACGTAAATGTTTGATGATGAATCCTGGTAGCTGAATGGTATGAGAATTGTCTTGTAGGAAATAATATGGCGAAAACAAACGGTAAAAAGACACGTCAAGAAATTACTTACAAAACAAAATATAACATATTATGACTTATTAATATGTTGACCAGACCACACACTAGAAGGTGAAGGGACGACGACGTTTTGGTCCGTCCTGGACCATTCTCAAGTCTATTGTGAGAATCGACTTGTGAATGGTCCAGGACGGACCGAAACGTCGTCGTCCCTTCACCATCTAGTGTGTGGTCTGGTCAACTTACTTTAGCCACGTTATTGTGACTCGTCGCCTGCCTATGACTTAATATATCTTGTTTGATTGTTTAGAAAAGTGTTAGATGGGTTCGAATTCGACTCTTGAGACATTGACTACCCACTAAGCCATGATGTGCTCACGTGGCCTCAAT